TAAATAACCCCGCACAAGGACGGAAATACACATCAAATGAAGATATAATGTATAACATACAACAGAACTGTAACTAAAACTACAAGTGTAAGCGATCCTTAAACACACACAGAAAAGAGACGGCCGTATTTTCCGATCAGCCGCCCACGAGTGAACCATGCATGCATGCGTTATACAACGAAAAATAACTTCGCCACACCGCTCATATACTGCTAACAAAGCCATATAACTACCCAAAGGGCAAAAATCTTAACTAGACCCGCAAAAAACCACGCTACAATACAGACAAATACCAATATGAATAAAAGAATCACGTCCAAGTCCAAGTTTGATGCCTGAAGCTGTTCATTTTCAATTGGATCATTCACCGGCGAAACTGGTTGATTCTGAGGCGGAGCGGAATCAAGATCAATCGGTTGGGCAACAGCATTAAGTCGCAAGTACCGCTTCTTGTAAACGTGCAAGGAGGTCGAACAGGCGTGGAGCCATACTGTAAAGTCTGTAAATTTTTTTATCTTGCACTTCTTTGTCTTGGCGATCAGCACAGAAAGAGCAGCTACAACCTGTAAACTAGGGTTTTATGCATTGTACATCATTATTTATATTTATTCATAAAACAACGTTAATTACTCAAATCCATTAGTTAAGCCTGATTTCCACTAGGCGGAATTTTGCGCGCGGAGCGACATTTTCCGCGCGGGAACTGAAAAAGTTGAACTGCTTTCAACTTTGTGGCTGCGGAAAATGTCGTTCCGCGCGCAAAATTCCGCCTAGTGAAAAATCGGCTTTAATCAGCTTCCGCGGCGTGTTTGGCCAATTTGAATAGTACTTGAGCCGCCAGTTGGTCCGTACGCTAAGATTAAACTGCGCTTTAAAACGTTCAAAATAAAATATTTGGGGGCTTTTGGGCTCAAAATATTATCAAAATGAAGAAAGAAGTAAGACGAATCCACTGGTATACGGCCGAAAAAGAGAGAACCAATGATACCAAAGTTATCAAGGATCAAACGTACTGCATTTTTTCTAATTAGTTCAATAATTTTGAGCGATTTGTCAACAATACGATTTCGCTTGGCTTTCAAAGACAAAGGCCATAAATCGCTAGATAGTCTAGGATCGGTATATGAGTTTGTATGCATTTCATTTAGGACAGATAATCTCAACTGTTTTAGGGCAAGTTGACCATGACGGTCAACATGGTAACGCTGCCCGAACCCCAATCCGGGACGAAACGTCCGAAACTGACCACACCCAAAAACGAAGCTTTCGCCATACTGCTATCTACCAAACCATAAAAGCTTTGGCTATTCTGAAGTGCTTATATGGTTCAGAGATGGTACTTTTTGGGGTGGTCATTGGTAAGTGTGAAATGCCTAGCACTAATATTTCACAAGAAAATGACCATGCAATAATCATAGTTAAACGTCAATTTGTGGCTTGCAACTTCAGATAAACAGCAGTGGACTTACATTACCTTTTTCCCTAAATCTTTTTGATAGAAACATAATTGGTACTTGTTTAAATATATTATCACTGGTTTGGTGTAAAATAGTTAATATTTTCTGACCGAAATAATAATTTGAAATGTGCCTACCTCCTGCAAATGGACGTATTTGGCCAAGTTCTCCACTTTACTCCGCTGTTTATCGGCGATCTCGTGGACACCCTACAAAAAATGTAAATCATCTCAGACATAATGGCATCAAGAACATTTTGAACAAGTTTCAACTTGGTTTCAAGTAGATCATAGCTGTTTAACCATCGACAAGGTAAATCCACAACTTTGTCCAAATTCGGCGCCATTTTATCATCCCATGTCGGTTGTCAACAATTCGGCCTTGTTACTCTTCCATTCACGCCATATCCATTGCACAAATAACAAATTTAACTCTTTGTTAAGGGTTTTATTTCCAGTCAATTTTAGCAAATATTTCAAGCACTAAACCGTGAAAAATGCATCGCAAATTTCGTTAAAATTGGCGACGCCAATTTCGTAGCTACAAATGTAAAAAAATACAAAACAAAGACGAAAAACATTTACCTTGAATACTTGGTCGTGGCTTAGGCATGTTTTTAAAACAATTAGATCAGCTTATGCTTCAATATTACTCTTTTAAAGCGGAAAATATAGCGAAACAACAAAAATGCTGAGAACTTTGGCAATACGCGTGACGTCACAAATTGCAACTACAATCACTTTCAGAAGTTGTTGGGACACATGTAGTTTTAGATTGTAAGTGGATCATTACAGTTTTTTACACACAATACCGCTTCCCTCCCCCTCCCCCCACCCCAATCAATGTTGCTCCAACCAAAACACATCAAACCTGACGAGAAATGGGACACAACATTGAACGGGGGGCTGGGGGATTGACGTTTTGTTGAAATTCAAAAGTTTTGTGGCATCTGTCCCAAGACTTTTGAAACTGATTCAATCACTGTCAGAAGTTGTTGGGACACATGTAGTTTTAGATTGTAAGTGGATCATTACAGTTTTTTACACACAATATTGCCCATGTTTTTATGTTACCAGGAGCTCCATTTCGCGGAGTTAACCATGTCGAACACATTATTGAGACGGGTGATGCTAAACCCCAATACTCAACGCCATATCCCCACTCTCCTGTTCAAATAGTTAACATGCACCGAAGCACGTAAACGAACGTAAAGCCTCATTACTGAACGAAACAATCGTCAAAACTACACTTCCTTATTGAATGATAGCACTCAATCCATTCTCAACCGTATAATAGCAAGCTCTTATTGGATAAACGTTTGGCATAATTTATTCGCACGAAAGTTGACAGTGTGTTGGTGATTATACTGTATTGTACAGGGTATATGAATTTGCATGAAAGTAAACACAATTGGTCAATGGACCATTTGCATTATAGACTAAATTTTGATCTAGACAACAATTTCATCACAGCTTGAAAGAGCATCACAAAATTAGTAATATTCCAAAGCTTCGTTGCGAAATGTTGTAAAATGCGGATAATATAGCCATGCGAAGTTTGCCGTTTTTCAGTCATTTTGTATTACGCACGGGAAATTGACAGCCCAATCGGGTGTTGGGGCATCATTTCCCGTTTGTAATGCAAAATGCAATGAAACTGATTGCAAATTTCGCAAGGCCATATTATCCACATTTTACAACATTTCGCAACGAAACTTTGGAATATTACTAATTTTGTGATGCTCTTTCAAGCTGTGATGAAATTTTTGCTAGATCAAAATTTAGTCTATAATGCAAATGGGCATTCACAAAGGGCAAAATTGCAACATGCAGATGTTTATACTACAGGGTGTTCCAAAAAAAAGTGACACTATAGAAATTATCTCATTGTTCTTAAGCCGCTCTTAAACGCGCGTGATTACACGCCTGGGAATTTAATGAACTTGTATTTACATTTAAGCATTAAAAAAACGTTTTCGCTTTGTCCAAATATTTTAACGCTCGAGTCAAGCAAAACGATTACACTAATAAACGGTTTGCTTTTTTATTTTAAATTCCAGAAGCAGAAGTTTATGCACCTGTGGGATCAACTTAGTGCTAGCGCATTCAAATTATAACAATAGGATAATTTCTATAGTGTCACTTTTTTTTGGGACACCCTGTATAGACATTGTCATTGCGCTACTCAATACAGTATGTTTCGTAAATATTTCGATTCCCAAAGCCGAAAGCAAACATATTTGTGAAGAGTTTAAATTCGTTCATGAATCAATCATGACGTTACGAGATTTATAGCGAGGACATATACATATCAATGATATCAACAATATTTCAGCATTGAAGCATGTATAATAAACACGGCGAGCCAGAGTAAAACGATTTTGATTTAAAATCTATAGAAGAAAATGGATCGCTAGAAATTTTTTACGGCCAGTCTGAACGACTAATTAATGTATTCTCTTGTGAGTCTTAGTGTCTGGAGAAGTTTTAAGATTCAAACATTTTCTGTACAAATGCTAAATAGTTGGACATGCATAGACTATGTCTGCACAAAGTTAATAGAGGAGATGGTTTGGAAACTCATTAGCATTACAATAAACCTCACTATCTATGTTTTTGTTCAGGGTAATGCAAAAATGTGGTCTTTCATCGTCACGTGCGTATTGTATCTTTGCTCAACCAGCCAATAGCAACGGTTTTGTCCAATTGCCCATCCATGACTTTAACAATAGGACATTTTGAACATTCCTATTGGTTGACTTGAGAAAAATACAATACGCACGTGACGATGAAAGACCACATTTTGCATAAACCTGAACAACATAGATAATGAGGTTTATTGTGATTTTATTGTAATGCTAACGAGTTTCCAAACCATCTCCTCTATTAACTATGGTCAGCACGACAATGAAAACTTTGTATATGCAAACATATTTTCACACGATGCGATAGTACGTTAGGCAATCTCTAGACTCTATAGTGATCTACACGACTACACATGTCGACGTAGCTTCAAATCGAAAATGTGATTAACTGACAACATGATAAAGTCTTTAGAATTCGCACATTTTACAAACAATATGCATATCTATGGTCTCATTTACACATATTACACGTGGAGCTAATCAGAATTCAAATTCTTACGTTTGTAAATTAACATAACTGAACATACGTTCGTTTACGTGCTTCGGTGAATGTTAACTATTACAGCTTATCAAACGAGAAATTCAAAAAATGGTTGAACAAAACATTTTAGAACCATCAACATCTTCCTGGGGTGCCCCTTGTTTATTGGTTAAAAAGAAAACGGAACATGATCTACAAGTGACCATCTATAGTGACTATCGCAAACTGAACAAAGTTACCAAGCCCGATGTCTACCCACTTCCTCATGTGCAAATGATCCTTGACCAACTAGGTGGAAAGAAATGGTTCACTAAGTTGGACTTGTTTAGTGGATTTTGGCACATTCCCATAACCCCAAAGGACAGAGAGAAAACAGCGGTTGTAACTCATGTTGTACTTTATCAGTACAGTATCTACGCTTAAAGTTCTCTCACTTCTCTTCCTGTCAGTTAAAAACTACATCATACCCTCTAATGTAAACATTGCCCAAATATCGCATGTTTCGAATTTTTCTGAACATAAACTTTATTTCATATTCATTTAGAAACATAGCGAACCAAAATGGTGTTAGATATTCAAACAGTACATCATATTTTTAATATAATACAGCAGTTCAAAATGTAAACAAACCGTCAATCTCGTACCCAGAGTATGCCCGTTCGCAGGTTATGTGCTGGGCAGTCTGGAGAAACGGAATACCGGATATCCAATTTTGGGTATCTGGTTAGTTGTGCGCATGCTCATGCTCAAACCGCAACACTGAATTCGCGTAGGCGTCATTAGTTTCAATTATAAACAAAATCGTAGAATTTGTCGAAAATTTGATACTTTTTACATTGAAATCAATTGAAAAGATTTATTTCTTGTGCTAAAAGTTACAGAGTAAATATATATGCGGTGTATAAATATATGTATATAAATATATATGCGGTGTATTTTATGGATTTTATACGGTCAAGAAATAGTATCGAGATTCGAGAGACTTTGCAAGAAAGCCACTTACAAGTCTGACAGAGTTAATTTATAAGAGGTTGATCTAGATTTATTTAATTCATACTATTAGATAGTTTTTATGATATTAAAATATCTAAAATGCTTGATGTGCCACTGTGGACCTGTTGCTGGTTAGCCTATTTTGTTTATTACAATTAAATATTTTAATTGGTGCCTTAATGGATTGATATTTAAAATGAGTATGAAAATACTGCCCTCTGTTAATCTGTATCACTCCTTTGATTTAACATTGTGCATTGCATTCATACAAACAGTTCCATGGTTATATGTATTTAATTGAGTCATAAAAATTATGTTCACAATTATTGATGCTTGAAAATAACCTAATTAAATGGAATTATGACACAGTGTTTGAACTTTGAAGTGTTTTTGCTGATATAATATTATCATATAAACTATTAGGTTTAACAATTAACACAGGACAATGTCATCAGGTTGGGTGCCTGTCTGAAAGGTGGCAGGCAAGGCAGGGTGTTGCTATTAAAATTGCCTATCCAAATACTGGGGGCACTGATTGGGAAATCTGCCATTATTGGGGTTATGGGGTAAGCTACATTACCCTGACCTCCAGACATTGCTTCATATCCCTGGGAGATAAATAATAACTTTCATGTGCTGATGTATGCCTGCAACAGGCATATGGCCAAGTCAAGGTAACTAGTTACTATTCCCATTGAATATGTACTGCATGTTAACTATATGATATTGCAGGGAGAATGTAAGATGCATGTGGGATGACCTGCTGCCACTATGGCAATGTCGTAGCCAGTAGTTTAGTGGGAGGACTGAGCCCCCCCCCCTTGTTAAAATATTATGTCGACTTTGGGGGGGGGGCTGAGCCCCCTATAATTTTTGCTAATCTTAAATTAGAATGTTCTTTAGAATTGCATCTACAAAAAGTGGTACAAAAACCTTGAATTACATACCCTTTTGAGATGCTCAGAATATTTTATATTACTAACAGCCATTGTTTTTAACAAGTCCCACAATTATTAGAAAAAAACCCAACAAAATTTCGAATTTCCAAAATATCATATTGTAAACACTCCCCCCACCCCGCCAGTTCAGGACACTTTTGGAGAACAGGGACAGAACTACCCGTGTGTGTGTGTGTGTGTTTCTGTGTGTGTGTGTGTGCGTGTGTGTGTGGGGGGGGGGTGACACCATCTGTCCCTATCTCACCGGGTATACCCATACAATACCGTATTGTTAGCATATAATTTCAGCACATCAAATTGTATTCTTTGACTTACTATACCAGACATTTTTGGTGGAAAGGCTGAATTTAGGTTGCCACAGCATGAGAATGTTAGGGTTTGTAATCCAAGTGAATATATATACATTTTAAGACCGGACCAGGAACGACTGCAAAAAATGCAGCACAAGGTCCTCTGGTAGGAATTGAACCTACGGCCCTGCGATTCCGGTGCAGCACGCTAACCAACTGAGCTACAGAGGCCAGCTGTTGAGCGGTAACTACTGAGCTATACTATAACTGGAGGACGTGCTCGGCATCAAAAAGTGTCGCCAAAAACATGGCGGATTTCAGCCTTTGCTGACGCCAGAATGACGCCATCTGGTTCCTTTTGCTCATGCAATTACCACTGACAAGGCTCAATTTTGAGCCCGCTACAATTTCTACTCCCCCTGATTTTTGCAAAAATATTTTGTTGTTTTTGCAGTCGTAGTTTTGGATTTTTAACGTAATTCTTGGACGTCAACTATTTTTTTCAAAGATGTGCAGTTTGTACAAGTTATCCTTGTTCGCTAAAGACAATAAACCTAGAGAAATATTGGCAAAGACGATATTTGAAGCCAGTTGAAACGAGCTGACAGCCCGACGGGTAAATAATATTTCACAGTTCAGCCTGAGTTCACATTCTCAAGAACCTGAAATACTGAAAATATTTCGTGAAAAATTGGTCTTGTTGGTGGGATATGATTATATTTAAATACGATGGATAATGCTTTATTTTTGCCATGAGTATTTAAAGTTTTGGTTGTAGAAAATACGTCGACTTTTATATAATATAGTTTCATTTATTTTTATTACATATAGCTGATATATTATATAATATCATGATTGGAGGTATTCCCTTTGTTCTCGCAGGGCAATTAATAACTATTACACCTCATTATATTCATTTTTTCTAATCCTACCCGCTTTTACGTCATGTCAGGTAGAATTAGTTCTAATCCTACCCGAAACAACGTCAAAGCGGGTACGATTAGAAAAAATGAATATAAATGAAGATATCTGAAATCGCCAAAACTAAACAAAGACAGGGAAAACAATTATACCATTTAATTTATACCATTATTTATTTTTAATTGGTTTTTAATGGCCCTGCGAGAACAACGGGAATACCTGCAATCATGATCATTCGGGTCATTTAGTAAAATTCCCTCGGGCCTTGGGCCCTCGGGAATTTTACGAAATGACCCTCATCGAGCGGCGCCCAAGTGAATTATACTAAACGACCCTCATCGAGCGGCGCCCAAGGGAATTATACTAAACGACCCTCATTGGGCGGGACGTTTTAATAGCTAATTCGCTTCTTTTTATGCTATTACTTATAATAATATATTAAGTGATTACAATTTCATGTCTAAGCTCTTTGTATCTTGATAGTGTTTTGGAAATTTAATTTCCTGCAAGCAGTATGAAACCATGCATGTATCAGTACTAGTATTTTATGTTATTTACTAACTTTATACATGCTGTTAGCGAACGATATTATTATATGAAGTACTTGTTATCATGACCGCTGAAATAGTCGCGCGAGCGACAAAAACGTAGTTTGAACGTTCTAGTTTATATTTTTCGATAACCTGAGTATCAGGCTCTCGGTATTGAAGAGAGCCTGACACAATTCGCCTCTACGGCCTTTCCGCCCCCAGAATATCTGCCACTTAAAATTATTTCCGGTTGTAGCATATTTCCGGTTGTCCGCTATGTAAATACGCAGTTTTCGTTATTTACAGTTTTGTATAAATTTGAATAAGGCCATATAAAAAAAAATAGTTGGTTAGCGTCCTTAGCTTTTCCAAAAAGTGGGCGGGCGGGCGCTTTTTTTTTAATTTTTACTAATTTTTAACGCCTTGGTTTTACTCACTGTTAGGTCCGAAACTGGATTTTCTTGCGCAGTACAGATATTTTTTTATATATTTCAAAATATAATTCATACCGTCATTTTCGCACGCAATTTCGCAAATTATTAACACAATTGACTACAGTCAACAGAAATACTACATATATTAGAGCCCGTTGATCCATAAAAGTCAGGTTTTTTTAAATAAAAAATAAAAAAAAATCCTGAGCGGGGCCTTTTTTGTGGGCGGGCGGGAACGCTAACCAACTATTTTTTTTTATGTGGCCTAAATACGGAGAAAATTCGGTATGTTTTTGTCGAAATATCTACATGATCGAATTCTAAACGTAAACTATGCCTCATTCGGGGAACCATAGCTCGATGGCTTTTTCCAGGAGCCTAAAGAGACAACATTCGGCACGTGCACTCTGAATAGGATTTCTTCTTCCTCGGTCCTCGTGTCATGTTAATAGTTTATTCGAGACAACAGTCTCACTTCAAATTCGCTTCAAATGCCTCTGACACAGCGGCTATTGTCTTCAATTTCTGCCTGATGTTGGCATATTAGTTCGAGAGAGCTGACAACTATATCCTTGCAGGTCTTGGAAAACAGCTCGGCAATAAACTGATAAATAAGACTTTTAATAACTTTTAAATATACGGAACTAAGGTAAAGTACATTTATTATGCCGAGGGGGGGGGATGAAGATGTTAAGGGGGGGCTCCGAAATATTTTCTGGCATTAAAGGGGGGGCTCTGAAAGTTCTTGATATACTGAAGGGGGGCTCTAAACTTTTCAAAGGTTTGACCCCAGCAAATTAAAGTTAAAATTTTTACATCAGTTTCAGGTAAAATTTGCGTAATAAAGTAATTATTTTTGTGAAATGATAACCATTTTTGTAAAATACAGTCAATTTACATGCAATTTGTTTGCGAAATTTGCTTTAGAAAACGCCAGAAATTCAGTCCTAGAGCTTCGAAAATGTAAAAATTTTCTGGGGGAGGACCCCCAGACCCCCCTTTTCTCCCAAAACTTAGTATAAGAGTGCCAATCAATCACAAAAAGCTTTATTATAATTATTACACGTATAATCCTCTGACATCCCCCCCCACCCCAAACGTCAGATGCTTTGCTACATCCCTGATAGTTGTATTCGAAACCGATTTTAGTTTTAAGATATCCTTAGTCTGCTCTTCTAAATGGATACATGAAATCACCTATAGCTTATTTTTAATTTTTTTGCGCCAGGTTTGTGAAGTAATTTACGCGCCAAAAAGCAAAAAAGCATATACAATTTGCAAGAATGATATGTTCTATGTTTATGGGATATTTCGTACAAACGGGATGGAAATTAAAGAAATTGAAGCATACTGGCACTTTTGCATGCATTTTTGACAGGCATGCAAAGACATTTGCAAAAGATGCCGGGAGATACGTTGGGTGGGGGCAACATACTGTAAGGTTCCAGCACATTATCCTGATCCAGGAAATCCTGGCCACTACATGAACGTGTTCAAGACTCCGAATACGTTGACAACAACAACCTGTTGATAATTCCACCCCTAGAGCCAATTTAAAATGTTTTAAAGACAGTGCCATTTCATCTGGCGCTAGTGAGATGAAAGAAGCAGCAGATCGGTAGTTTTGTTGAGGAGAAGCACTTGAGTATATCAGACATCTTGAGGAACTGCAAATTGTATCTATGATAAGAGAGAATTCCGAATTGTACTCCTTCGATTCCGAATTCTAGAGGGGGGGGGCATTGAAAATTTTAAAAACTTGGAGGGGGGCATCGAAATTTACCGATAACCTCAACAGGGGCCCTGTAAAAATATGAGCTTTTTTCAAGACATCTTCATCCCCTTCCCTCGGTGTAATAAATGTACTTTCCCTAAATATCTGAAAATTTCCGACATCCACATATTTTCGTTCTACGGCGACTATTTACACGGCGAGATATTTAGACACGATTTCTACTTCAACGTCTTCTCGTACTTATTTTGTCATTTTTAGGCTTAATTAATTGAAAATAAATTTCACAAATAAAGCACTTTTAACAGTGTATTGGCAAAATTTATACAAATTATATTTTTGGTGTTTACATACGCTGGTCATATATTTCCGGTTTGAATCACATGATGCGTTTTATCGTCTCTTAGCCAATCAGCATAACATCCAGATTCTGGATGTTGAACATGACTGTAGAGCCGAATTGTGTCAGGCCCTCTTTCAATACCGAGGGCCTGATGCTCAGGTTAATTTTTCGACTACAAAAAGTGTGACAATATTTAGGCTATTTTTGTGTTTAAAGACTCGGAATAAAGTGGTGAATTATCTCGTGTAGACATTTTATAGACAGTGCAATTAATCGGGAACAAGTTTGGTCCTTCGAGAGCCGGATCCGCTGACAAAATAACGAGAAATTCGCGACTGTTGTTGTGAATGTGCGAGCAAATATGGCGCTTAGTATGAGTGGACAACAACAAGACTTGCCGGGAGAAGAGACAGACCAAGGTGTTGAAGCTGTAAACAGTATTCAAAATGTTCATCTCGCCGACCACGAAAGTAAAAAAGAAGAAAATACATTGAATATAGAAAGCAAACAAGTGAGTACCAAGATTCAAACTTTACGAAGTAGTAAGAAATCGGCTAAAACCAGGCTGATAAAAGCTAAGAAACAATTGAACGACCTAATTGAAAAACAACTTCCTGGTGTATCATTGCCGAGTAAAAATGCCATAAGAAGAGCTATTAATAAAGTTAATTCCGAGATCAGTATTATTGAAAAAATTATTTCTGGCTTAAAAGAGATTTATGCTGTGAGTGCTGAAAATGAGGAGACCAACACAGTTATCGAGACTTTAGACAAAGAACTTGAAGACCCGATGTCTTCAGTCGATTCAATAATTGTAATGGCTGAACAACATCTCGAGGAAAGACTTGGCAATGGAGAAACTGACTCAGTGTTAACTTCACTTCGATCACAAGAAACTAGTCCCCAGTCTCCAGTTATGTCGAAAAAATCCTCAAATGTGGAACAGAAACAAAAAGAGGCAAAGGAGGCTAGTGAAAGGCTAATCCAAATGGAAAAAGAACAGCGAGTAAAGGAGCTAGAGATACAAAAGCTGACCGCTGAGCTTCAGCTGACAAAACAGCGAACCGATGATGCAAGGAAAGTTGCTGCTCTCAACAAATCCCGGGCTGAAGAAGCTGAACGAAGATCGCAAGTATCGGATAATGATACAGTACAGAACTTCCTTATTAACCGTCACTTAGAAAAACATTCAGAGCTACCCAATGAAAACAAAGAACAAAGACAGACATTTTCTCCCATTAGACTTAAAGGAGTGGATATCCCTATCTTCTCTGGCGAAGAAAAAAGTGACAATGAATCCTGGAAGGCAGCATTCCTGTCTGTTGTCGATCGTCGTGATATTCCTGTCGGAGAAAAAATGCTTAGACTACAAGACTGTTTGTCGGGTAAAGCTTTAACCATGGTGAAAGATCTTGGGTATTCCCTTAATGCGTATGAAAGAGCGAAGGCTAAATTGGAGAGGAGAGACTAAGTACGGAGGAGAGAGACGTTTACAGATCAAACACCTAACAGCTTTGCGCAATTTCAGGAAAATTCGTCCTCGAAATCTGGAAGATATGGAAGAGTTTCAAGTTCTATTAGAAAGAGTATTGATCGCCACTCAGGACCATTGCATGGACAGAGCTTGAATTTAACAGCTAACGTTAAAGAGAAACTACCAGAAGAAGACGTGCAAGCTTACAAATATTGGCTGATGGACCACTCGCGTGAAGACAATTTTGAAGCACTTGAAGAATGGGTTGAAGTACGAGTGCAAGTTATGGAAGAGGCGAAAGAAGAAACGAATGGCATTGGAAAAAAGACGGACAACCGTGTTGAACAGAAGAAACGCTTTCGAAGCTTCAATACTAGATTCACCACGCGATGTTGTATTGTTCCAAACTGTAAAGAGGATCACCCCCCGTGGGCTTGTAAAGCTTTCAAAGATCTACCCGTCCTAAAGAGAAAATAATTAATTACCAAGGCTGGACGCTGTTATTGTTGTCTGGCTTCTGGACATCGAAGCAAAGATTGCACCAAAACGAGACAATGTGGTGTTGATGGGTGCCTGGGTAAAGGCCACAGCAGTTACCTTCATGTAAGCCCTCCAAAACACAAGGACGACGTGGGGTGACACTTACGACCTGATGCACCGACATACGTCCCCCCAGGACAATCAAACCAAAATAGAGAGGCTCCTTGTAATGATAAGACACGTGATGACAATCTGCCACTAACCAATTTATAGCCCCAAGAAAGAACACATAATACAACTAAAGTAGAGAACGTCTCTCTCATGGTAATACCTGCCCTGGTTAGTAATGGAAACAGAGAGTTAAAGGTCAATGTAATGCTTGACCCCTGTTCGACCAGTTCCTATGTATTAGAGGAAGCAGCAGAAGAGCTTGAGTTGCATGGACAAAACGTAAACCTTACGATTGCAGGAACAGGGGGCATCGAGATCCAGAAAAGATCCCGCCGAGTGGAACTAAATGTGACTAGTCTATATAGGTCATTTACAACACCTGTTCACGCACATGTGTTAGATAACATTGCGAGCGACACACCAGCCATACAGTGGTCAGAACTCAAGGAAAAGTGGCCTCACCTGCACAAGATCCCTTTCGACAATGTTTCCAGGCGATAGCAGATTGATGTCATGCTTGGCAGCGATAATCCAGTATTCCACTACGTATTAGAAGAAGTTCGCGGCAGCCAACCAAGTGATCCCGTAGCGCGCCTAACGAACTTGGGCTGGGTTTGTTTTGGGTCAACATTGGTCAACGAGTTTCGGCGTAACTCTCGTTCCCACTTCACACGCACGTACCGTACCTGCCATGTAGACCAGCAACCACCACCGGACGACATTCTACGCAAGTTCTGGGAGCTTGAGGCACTCGGAATCAAAGAAACGTCTGAGAAACAGGCGATGACAGCCGACGAAAGAGCAGCAACTGCAACTGTAGCTGGATCCCTAAAGTTTGAGAATGGTCAGTACGAGGTAGGAATCCCTTGGAAGGACGGAGAGCCGAAGTTGACTAACAATTACGAAGCGGCATTGTTACAACTCCAAAGTCAAGAGAAATCCCTCAGAAAGAAAGATCCTAGCATCCTGGAAGCCTACAGTAAAGTATTCAAGGACTATGAGAAAAAAGGCTACATTCAGAAAGTACCCAAGTCCGAAGTAGAACAGCAGTGGTTCCTCCCACATTTTCCGGTCATTAAGCCAAGCAAAGATACGACTAAAGTTCGTGTTGTCTTCGACGCGGCAATGAAGCATGACGGAAAGAGCTTAAATGACAGCATACGGCCAGGTCCGAAACTACAACGAGAAATAGTAGATGTTCTCACCCGCTTTCGTCGAGCACCAGTTGCTTTGAGCGCGGACATTTCTGAAATGTTCCTGCAAGTTGGTCTACAAGACAAAGATCGTCCCTTCCACAGATTCTTATGGCGAGATTTCGATCCTTCAAAAGAGCCCGACGTGTACGAGTTTCGACGCCTGTTGTTTGGTAATACTGCCTCGCCATTCTGCGCACAGTATGTAATACACGCCCACGCTCAAGCACATACAGAGACATTCCCAGCGGCAGCAGAATCGGTCGATAACTCGATGTATGTTGACGATGTCTTAGATTCAAGCGAGACTGTAGAGAGTGCCCAGGATCTGCGACGTCCGTTATCTGACCTGTTGGGTCTGGCAGGTGTTCGGCTGCGGAAATGGTCGTCGAACGAGCCATCAGTTGTCGAAAGCATCCCCGAGAGTGACCGGTTATCTGCTGTTGAAATTAACAAAGAAGAGCCGTCTAAAACCAAGACTCTGGGAGTATTGTGGGATCCTGAAAGAGATGTATTTACCTTCAGAGTGGAACCTCCTGATGCGAATAAAACCCCTACGAAACGTAATGTACTGAGCGCCATAGCTGCTGTATACGACCCCCTTCAGTTTCTCTCGCCATTCCTTGTTCGGGCTAAAATTCTTATGCAGGAGATTTGGAGAGCAGGGTTGGATTGGGATGACAACCTTCCAAGTGATCTAGCAACTAAGTGGAAGAACTGGGCTACAGAACTTTCGCAGTTATCGCATGTCGCCATACCATGCTGCTTACGCCTCGCAAACCCGAATAAAATGGAACTACACCTGTTCTCGGATGCCTCTAAAGACGCCTACGCATCAGTCGCTTATTTGGTGTGCCAATATGAAGACGATAGCCCTACATCACGCCTTGTCGCATCAAAGTGCCGTGTAGCCCCCACCAAAGCGATTCCCAGACTGGAGCTTATGGGTGCCATTCTCTCAAGCCGTTTAGCTCAAAGTCTTCTGAAAGTCCTGACTGTCGATCGAGTGATCTTTTGGACTGACTCCCAGAATGTGTGCCATTGGGTACGAAACCACAGCCGGCAGTTTAAGCCCTTCGTAGCCAACCGTATCGCAGAAATTCAACGGACGACGAGTCCCGAGCAATGGAGGCATGTACCTGGGATACAAAATCCAGCAGATCTAGCGACCCGAGGTCAATCTGCTATGGAACTAGCCAAAAGCACATTTTGGTTGGAAGGACCATCGTTCTTGAAAGATGTCGAGATCTCGGGGCCATCAGCGCCTTCCGTTAGAAAGGAGACGAAAGTTGAAGATATTGAAAAGACAGTGGCACAGACGTACATGGTCCAGGCGCGCGTTAACCTGGGCGTTGATCCAAACCATTTTTCTACCTTCCGTCGCCTTTGTCGTGTGACTGGATGGGTTCAACGAAAATGGGTTCAACGAAATGTGGTTCTGGATGGGTTCAACGAAAATGGGTTCAACGAAAATGGGTTCAACGAAAATGGGAAAATGTCGTGTGACTGGATGGGTTCAAAGCACTGATGCTTTAAATGATCAAGTAATTTATGAAAGTACTGTGCTTCTTCCTAAAGAAAATTTTCACTTCGCAGATATTACTATAGATAGTGTTTCCAAACGCCTACAAAAACTAAATGTCTCAAAAGCGACAGGTATGAATGGAATACCTGCGAATATTTTAAAACTGACATCAACCCTTATTGCTCCATCTATAACTTTTATATTTAACCTGTCGATTAGAACTGGTATTTATATAGATGAGTGGAAATTAGCTAGAGTTATACCAATTTACAAATCTGAGGATAAGCGTAAATTATAGACCAATTTCAATTCTTCCCATAATAAGTAAAATATTTGAAGGGGAAGTTTTTACTCAAATATATAGCTTTTTGAATAAACATGCGCTTCTGTCTAAATTTCAATCCGGGTTTAGACCAAAACATGGAACCTTAGGTGCTCTTATACAAATGTGTGATCAATGGCTACAAGACATGGATGAAGGCAAAATAAATGGAGTTGTTTTTCTTGATATATGTAAAGCATTTGACTCGGTGAATCACGAGATATTATTGGAGAAGCTTAAAACCCAGTTTGGAATTCACGACATTGAATTAAAATGGTTCCAATCATACTTAAGGAATAGAAAGCAAGTGTGTTCTGTTAATGATCAAACTTCTTCTGCAAGAACAATAATATGCGGAATTCCGCAAGGATCCATACTTGGTCCATTATTGTTTTTGCTATATATTAATGATATGTCTGACATTTTAGAAAGGACAACCCCATGTCTTTATGCCGACGACACTCAGATATCTTCCTCTTCGCATGATTACGATACATTGATTGACAATTTGAATATGGACCTTTCCAGTATTCATAAATGGCTTGCTAAAAACAAACTAAAATATCATAGGAAAAAAACAAAAGTCATGTTTATTGGATCTACGTATAATCTAAATAATAAAATAGGAAATAGACCCGTAGAGATTAACAAAATCCCAGTCCCACAAACCAATACATTTCAATGTCTAGGTGTAAATCTAGATGAAAAATTAAGTTGGGAGAAACATATTGATTCTGTATGCCATAAGATTAGCGCTGGAATAGGAGCAATTAAAAGAATAAAACCTTATGTTCCACACAAAACCTTACATGATGTCTACAAAACATTAATTCAGCCTCATTTTGATTACTGTTCTCCCCTGTGGGATAACTGTGGTTTGGGACTTCAAGACAAATTGCAAAAATTCCAAAATCGAGCAGCAAGGGTGATTACCGGAGCTGACTACGATGTAAGATCGTCTGAAGTCCTAAACAAATTAGGCTGGGAAACCCTGGCTAGGAGACGAGAACAAAACAAGCTAGTATTGATGTATAAAGTCTTGGGGAACCACACTGCGCCAAACCTTAAAGATCTTTTTTCTCGGAGAAATGCATCGCAGAATATTTATGATTTACGCAATAGCGAAACTGATCTCTCGTTAAAAAAACCGAAAACGGAATTTCTAAAGAAAACATTTGGATACAGTGGAGCAATTCTATGGAATAGTCTCCCGCAAGATGTCAAGGCGGCTGAGTCAATTACGTCATTTAAAACAATGGCGAAATTGCATTTAAGCAGATGATAAGCTAATTTCTCCAGGACCAAATGATGGGAGGACAATATATATTGTGGGCGGGAGGGGGGTTATTTGCGTGAGGGTGGGTGGGTACTTGTTTAGGGGGTGGAGGTTTGGGAGGAAGATGATAAAATTTTAGGGTGGGATTCTTACATATTTTGTTCTATATATAATTAATATTTAGCTCTTTGTGTGTATACGCCCTTCGTGGAAACCAGTTGTAAATAATTGTCGAAGTTAGCGTATTGAAATAAAGTTTTACATACATACATTCGTTACAAACTGCAAACTTCCAAGGGAATTACGAAAACGAGATAGAACGCTTTGTTCAACTGAAATACTTAATGTGGAAAAGTGGTGGATCAAACAAGCGCAAGGAGAAGCTTTCCCGAAAGGAGAGGGAGAAGGATGTTTACTGCGACTTAGTCCAAAGAACGGTGACGATGGTCTTCTAAGGATGGACGGACGTTTAAGACTTGCGAATGAACTATCCTACAACACAAGACACCCCATTTTATTGCCAAAGGAACACGTGGTGACCCGACTCATCATCAAGGATGCACATGAAGAACTCGGACATGGTTCCGGAGTTGAGCAGGTTCTAACACTGCTACGAAGTCGTTTTTGGATCGTAAAAGGCAGACGCGCGGTAAGGAATATCGTTGAGTCGTTGAAGAACTTCAGACCGCAGTGTGTGGAGCTGAAAGACTGGTAAACTCACGGCCTATCACTTATGTGAGTTTAGATCCAAACGACCCGTCCCCACTTACTCCAAATCATTTTATAGTCGGACAGATCGGTGGGGTATTTGCTCCTGAAGCTCTTGATCAAGTTGAAGCGAACAACCCTAGGAATCGCTGGAATCGAGTACAACAATTGTTACAGCTGTTCTGGAAGCGCTGGAGAAAGGAGTTCCTTCCACGTCTCAATGTAAGCAAGAAATGGTTTCATCCCAAACATAACCTGAAACAAGGCGATGTGTTATTGATTGCTGAACCCAAAGCAAGTAGGGGAGAATACTAGCTACTCGTGCTCGGTCTCAAGCAATCTAGCATTGCGAGATGCACGTCTCATATACGCCAAACACATTGGCAATTTAAATCCAAATTCAGTAGCTACTCGTGCTCGGTCTCAAGCAATCTAGCATTGCGAGATGCACGTCTCATATACGCCAAACACATTGGCAATTTAAATCGAAATTCAGTAGCTACTCGTGCTCGGTCTCAAGCAATCTAGCATTGCGAGATGCACGTCTCATATACGGCAAACACATTGGCAATTTAAATCCAAATTCAGTAGCTACTCGTGCTCGGTCTCAAGCAATCTAGCATTGCGAGATGCACGTTTCATATACGCCAAACACATTGGCAATTTAAATCCAAATGCAGTAGCTACTCGTGCTCGGTCTCAAGCAATCTAGCATTGCGAGATGCACGTCTCATATACGCCAAACACATTGGCAACGTTGTTTAAAATCCAACTTCAGTCGCTACCCGTGCCCGGTCGCAAGAAATCATGCACTTGCGAGATGGACTTCTCTTACACGCCAAACACATTGGCAACGTTGGTTAAAATCCAAATTAAGTAGCTACTCGTGCTCGGTCTCAAGCAATCATGCAATTGCGAGATGAACTTCTCTCATACGCCAAACACATTGGCAACAGCTAAATCCATAGTAGAATTTGTGCTCGGCCGTCGCAAGCAAGCAATTATGTATTGCGAGATGCCCGTCGGTCATACGGCAAACATAGTCGTCCTTTCTCGCTCAAGCAAATACAATAAACTACGGAAGCTCGGAGTGAATCAATCATGCAGTGCAATTCGCTCCCGTCCCATACCATACGAAAACACAATACCCAATAACCATTTTATTAAAGGCGAAAGGTAATCACTATAGCCTAGCTATTGTTCTTTTCAACAATTTAATCTTGCGAAATACACGACCCGCTCGCGTAGAACATTAACAAAATTAACAATGCTAAAACCAGACGGGAATCATTCATGCGTCGCAATCTCAACTGAACTAAAATAAACGAAAGCGAACTTGACAGTAAATAACCCCGCACAAGGGCGGAAATACACATCAAATGAAGATAGAACGCATAACATACAACAGAACTGTAACTAAAACCACCAGTGTAAACGATCCGTAAACACACACAGAAAAGAGCGAGGCGACCGTATTTTTCGATCAGCCGCCCACGAGTGAACCATGCATGCATGCGTTATACAACGAAAAATAACTTCGCTACACCAAGCATATACTGCTAACAAACCGATAACCGCCCAAAGGGCAAAAATCTGAACTAGACCCGCAAAAAAACAAGCTACAATACAGACAAAGACCAATATGAATAACAGAATCACGTCCAAGTCCAAGTTTGGTGCCTGAAGCTGTTCATTTTCAATTGGATCATTCACCGACGAAACTGGTTCATTCTGAGGCGGAGCGGAATCAAGATCAATCAGTTGGGCAACAGCATTAATTCGCAAGTACCGGCGTCTTGTAAATGTGCAAGGAGGTCGAACAGGCGTTGAGCCATACTGTAAAGTCTGTAAATTTCTTTATCTTGCACTTCTCGATCTGTCTTGGCGATCAGCACAGAAAGAGCAGTTACAACCTGTAAACTAGGGTTTTATGCATTGTACATCATTATTTATTCATAAAACAACATTAATTACTCAAATTGCATTAGTTAATCAGCTTCCGTGGCGCGTTTGGCACATTTGAATAGCTTTTTGATAAAATTTCAATGGGGGGTTGACACCTCATTTTTACCAAAAATATTAGGGCATTGCCCAGTTGCCCACTTAATCCTTCCCTTCGAATTTCAAGTCAGAAAATTAAAAAAATCAATTTTCAGTATTCTCTAACAGGCCTACTAGGTACATTGTAATGAATCACAATAATTGAGGAAGACTATATAACAATTTTACCAATAACCTCTCCCATATTTTACTGATAAGAATTCCTTTTTCTGATTTAATTTTATCAACAATCTTACCAGAAAATGGGGGTGCACAACCCCCTGCCCTACACACAAGGTACACCCCTGAGTTAAGCCATACTGTACTTAAATTTAGTATTTTTTGTGTATTTGTCTTTGTCATTTCACATGCTTTTTCCCTTGCAAAATTATCCCAGATTCATAACACAGTACACAGCTGAAGTAATTTATTTTAACCTTTTCAAAGAATAATAATTAATTACAATAAATAATTTTAATTGTTCTAATAACTTTTTTGCCCCATTGGCTATGACTAATTTGCTCTGCTGTTCAGATCTTGAAACATCTAGTGCATGGTACTCTTACTAGGGAGCACTACTGGTCCTGGCCAGTACACAACTACTCTTGCTATTTGAACCTCCAAAGACCTTGTGTTTCATTCTTGTCCACACTAAAGTTTCAACCTAAATAAGAAAAGTGAGTAATGTTTAAATATATTGTAATCAGCTAGTCTATCATTGTGAGGATTATTCAGACAGAATATCAGACCCCCACTACAGAGGATATTGCTGTCATCTCGTAGAA